ATATTTTTATCTCCCTTCTAAGATAATGATAAAATTAAAATGTTACTAATATTTCATTTTTTATTAAAATAAAAAGTTAGATAACTAAATCAAACATTTTTATTTAGAAAATAAAACAACTGAATAAATGTTTTAGTTAACTTTAATAATTCTAATATTTAATTTAAAGTGTTTAAATTTAGAATTTGTAGTCGCTGGAAGTATTTTGGACGCTGCAGCAGCAAAATTGCACCCTTTGCGGAAACTTGGTGCGCCAGTTGAATCCAGGTAGCCATTTAGAAACGGCAAATCCATTGCATCCACTGAAACTCATACGAAAATAACCACAGAAATCTGTTAAAAATGCTTTAAAAAGAGGGAAACAGGAGAGTAAAAACTATAATTTCTAAACTATAATTGCAAACGTAATTTCTAAATTCATTTCAAGTTCTAAACATGAGTTGGGCATTTTACTGAGAAAATCTACAATGAGACGGCCATCGCAGGATCTGCCAGATGGTCTTCCAAAATAACTCTGCCCATTAGGTGGTTGTAGGCTTTCAATGCCAGCTGCAATTAGCTCGCCGGTGTCAGAATTTGAATCATCGAAGTTAAAAACTGCAGGGATATTGAAGTGAATAGAATTGGATAAAGGAAAGAAGATGGAGATGAAGGTGAGGATTTGGATGAGACAGATCTTAGGAGCCATGCCGGAACAGTGGAGCCACCACTGTAGCTGTCGGTTTTATTGGCCCAATTAAAGCAATGTCATCTTCTCAATTTGAATGTTTACTGGATGTGCGCGGCCGGCCCAAGCCTTAATGGCTCGTAATTGAGTCCTTTTTTTTTTATATTAACTACCTATATTTAAAATGTACCCCAAAAAACTACTTATATTTAAAAGTTATATTAAATTTTAATTAATTTAAAATGAAATGATAGCAAATCTTAGAAAAAGAAAATTTTTCCTCTATTCATAAAATTCAATCTCAAAATTTTATTTTAAAAAAATAAAATTTCTTTTATTCGAATTAACAAGTTGCCTACACCTATAATTAAATCATCCATTCAAGTCAATCTCTCAACTCATAAGTATTATTATTAGGCTGAGTTGTCATCATTAATATTTTTAAATTTATAAAATATTAATTAAATTTTGTAAAAATATATAAAAAAAATACTTAAAATTTTTATTTATTTTCGGCCAAAAAATAAATCTAGTATTTGTTTTATTCTAAATTATAACAGACAAGTTAAATCGTAAATAAAGAGAATTCAAATTGAGAAGATGACGTTGCTTTAATTGGGCCCTTTTGCTTTAAAAGTTTGAGATTTTGTATATGCAACAGCTTCAGTTGGGAGACTCACCCACCATTTTCAGGTGCGCGACGTGGGTCGGGTTCAGATTAATCGAGGCGAAATCCTGGATAGCAAGCGGGAAAACCAAAAAAAAAAAATTTTATTTTCTAATTTAATACAATTCATTCTGCAGAACAAGTAACTCTCCTTTATTACTTAGAAAATGTACCCACTTAGTTAGGAAGCCATGAAGTATCATTAGCTACAACTTATAAATGAGCTTTTGAAAAAGCTTCATGTGTGAGGTCTCTAAGCCTATCATCAATGTCAAACTACCATCATCTGTTAGACTTGGTAGTATATATGACATTCCTTCACCTATTGTTGCCGTTCCCATGAAAATCGGACGACCCCACCCAAAATCTGCATCATGTATGGGTAACCTCCACCAGCTATTGATAAAAAGGTTTGGGCATTGGAGGTTATTTTCTCCCGGAGAAACCATGTGTTTTGAAGGCACTTTCTCGATGTAGGTAAGAGTTGATTTGAGGTATGCATCATCTAACTGCTTTATTGCTTTGTGTATTCTTTCCACTGTATTTGAGAATGGTTCTGACAGCAGATCGCCAGATAGAGCAATTGTTGAAGCAATGAAGATAGCATTGCCAAAGTAGCCTGGTGGGAGGCGAGGATGCAATCTGGTCCTTCCATCAACTGGAACAAATAACTTTGTTGGTTGATCATCTGAGAGGCTTCGTGCTTTGCTCACACAGCGCCATATATGTGCAGCTAGGATACTGTAACTACTATAACTTGCAGTGTCTCCACTCTTGTTGGACTTGACTCTTAGGTTGTTGAGCTGATCTTTTGTGATCTTGAATAAAGATGCGCTTCTAAGACTTGAGATGGGAGTGTTCATAGAAGGAGGTGGATCAAATTCAATGTGGTGGTATGTAGGAGCTGGTAGCATCAAGGACTGCAGGATGGTACGGTCAATGAAAGGCAAAATGCTAAGGGAATGACCTCGAGCCATGTCAGACCAGCTGTTGATGAAGTGGAATCCTGATGACCCATCTGCCAAAATATGATGATTGCAAACACCAAGGGAGATTCCTCCGCATTTGAAAGTAGTCACCTTGCAAAACCAACATATAATAATGTTTTTTTTATGGCAACTCTTATATATTTTCAATCACAAAACAATTGTATTTTTCTTGATTCAAAATCTGTACTAAATTAATTATTTTTTAAATTTTTAAAGCAAATTGTAATTTTAATTATTCATTTTATTACTAAAATTTTTAAAATATCCTTTTTTTCTTAAAGGAAATATGATATACATAAATTGTATCAAAATTCTTAACCGATAGTTTGGCATGAATAGAGTAATAATCTTAGATTTTATTAGAAAAAGACCACAGGCAAGATAAATGAGATCAATGTACTCATGTACCTGTATCAGAAGAAGCGGATAAGAGGAGATATCTCCGGAGTAATCAACTGTTGGAACTAATTGTTGAAGTTGTGGGCTTGGTGCAAAATCGCGCAAGTCGTCGAGAACGCCATCAGCTTCAGCTTCTATGAATAAGACCCCCTCGGCGTTGCATATTATCTCAATTCTCCCGCTCTCATCTCTCCCCAGCCTTCCGGCCATGGGGTAAAATGGGACCAGAACATTGCTTAAAGCTTCCTTGAGCACTTGGGCTTGGAAGAAATCAGGGGAGCCATTTGGTCTGTAGAAGAACAAAGCTGGCACATGATTCCTTGGCATCGTTCTCAGGTCCAATCTAGACATCCATAAGCGCTTGGCTGGTGTATCTCGAGCAGGGCGAATATTGCTAGTCCTCTTTATGGTAATAATCTGCATCTTTTCACTACATTTAGGAAAGCATTAGTAGGCTCCTAAGAACTGAGAAGTATACAATCTTAATAGAGTTTTACTGTGTTTTGCTTATTCCTTTTCAGTTCCTGGTTCAGGAAAATAAGGTGAAGTAACAAAGAAGAAACTTTTAAGAATCAGAATAAAAACTCAAAAATGTAAAACCTTTTCACATACCTTACTCCTCAAAAGATCGGAGATAAGTTGAAGGTATGAAATGGAAGAAGTTTGACCTGAACACATAAGAAATTGTGGATTATAATATAGACCTTGGCTGGGATGGAAAGGATCGTGACGATGGTCCCTAACGGCATGCCTTGAATATAGTTTTTTTTTTTTTTTTTTTTTGGTACTGGTGGGAATTGGAGATAAGTGAGGAAAAAATGGAGTTAGGAGGGATTAAACTCCAATAATATAAATAAATGGAATATTCATACAATGGCCACATGCACGAAAGCCAAGACCAAAGTTCAATGCCTTGAATGTGGTTGTTGATGAGTTTAATTATATTATTAATTATCCATGAGGTCTGCACTGTGAAATTTCAAGGCCAAATTTAATAAAATGTAGTTGGGAATTCCAAAACAACTCATTGGAAGAAAGAATCATGTACTGACTTATGTCATCAACTTTGTTGTAGACAGGCTGCCCACAAGATGGAATTTGCAAAAGAGAGGATGGTATTCCAAGGGATGGCATGCTGTGTGGTTTATGTAAGGAAAGTGTGGAGGATGTTAATCATCTATTTTGCACATGTAAGATAGCTTGGTCAGTATAGGTTAAGGTGATTCGGTGGTGGGGCTTGGAGGTTGTAATGCCGGATAAGGTGAGGGGTGTGGCAGATTTTTTCTTATGGTGTTTGGGTTGATTGGTGGGTAAGGAGATGGGAGCATGTATTTTTCTTGTTGTTGCTTGGCATATATGGTATTAGAGGAATGTCTTGGTATTTCAGAAGCATGGGGAGTTTAGGGAGCAATTGTTAAAATTAATTCAAGGTAAGTCTTTTTTTTGGGTTAGGAATAAGGTGGAGGGGTGTGTTTTTTCTTTGGTTCAGTGGCAGAACAATCCAGTGGAATGTGCAAAGGAATTGATCCGATACAAGAAGTCTTCGAAGATTTTTAAGCAGCAACAGGGGAGGCGTCTTCAACCTAATTCCTGAGGCTGGGACGTAAATGCAAAGCCTGGGGTGCGGTTTGATCACCGTCTGCTGTGCTGGAACTTTTTCTTTGTGCTGATGATTGTTTTTAGAGTAATGGTCTGTTGGGTTATGTTGTTTCATTTATGTGTAAAAGCGCAGGAGCATCTTTGTGCTCCATTAAAAATAAATAAATATTTTATTTGTTGATAAAAAAAAATCAACTTTGTTGTAGAATTTAATACGATGTGACTGTAACTTGTCGGAATTATTTGCGCATTTCAATAAAATAATTATACAGTGAATTTAAAATCATTGTGAATTGTTGTCATTGTATTTAATTATAGTTATATTGTATTGTAATTATAATTA